TTGCGTTTGCCCAGAAAATTTCTGACAACTGCAACAAATGAAGTCCAAGCCTTTTGCTCAGTTTCATTCATTGAATTCACGAAGGCAGAGTCATTAATAAATTGTCTTATTTGCGGACCATCAAACACTCCTGCTTTAATTTTTTCTGTACTCAACTGTGGCATCTTCTCCCCTATATATCCAAAACACGATCCGTTTTTATCAAGAGCCTTTACAAACTGCTTCAAAAGGACCAGCTTGATATGCAATGGAGGAAAAATGATTTTATCTCGTTCAACTAAGGTATTGTTAATTAAATTATTTTTCCCAACTTCCATGTTTTTTCTCTTAGGCCATTCTTTTTTAGTCCAGTGGTGTGTTTTGTCCCTGCTATCCCAGAGACACAAAAAGCAAGGATATTTAGTGTAACCAGCTTGCTGTCCCAGGAGAAAGTTAACCAGTTTTAGGTCTACACAAATCACTAATTGATGTTTCTGATACTTTAGCTTTTCCAAGATTAAAGCAATGGTGTTATATTCTTCTTTCATTTTTGTTGAGTGAGCAATTGGTATTGAACCAAATTTGTTTCCATTGTGCAGAATAACACATTTCAAACTTCGCTTTGAGCTATCAATAAATAGACGCCAGTCATCTTGAAAATATTTAGGAAGACTCATTTTTTTTAGGAGTCTAATTTCATGACAAAATACAAGATCCTTTTCTTGAGAGAAGAAGGGTAGCAGATCCTTTTCTCGTGTACGGTAGAAAATAATTTTGGTTCCTTGTTCCAGTATATTTTTTAAAAGTAACTCAGAAGCTTCTTTTGATAGATTGAGATCTCTGGTAAGGTCATTCAACTCATCTTGGTTGAATTGTTGTGGAATAGATGCCTTTCCCACATAATCACTGTCAATTTCATTAGTATCAAAAGAATTAGAAGCACAATATTCATCCTAGCAGAGCTCTGGTAGCTGGAGAAACGTTGGGATTGTAACTTCCTCTGAGTGAAGAACCGGTCGTCTTGCAGATAATAAATTAGGATAAGTCCACTCTCTACGGTTGTTTCGATTGATTCCAGTAATATTTATTATGCAGAAATAACAATCATTGAAATGGTTTCGTGATTCTCTCCAAACCATTGACACGCCGAATTTCATACTTTTTCTTTTCCCGGTAGTCCACTGTCGTAAATGTTCTGTACAAGTTTTACAAACCTGATGTGGGGCCCAGGTTTTATCTTGATCCCCAAGCCTAACACCAAAGTATGCAAGATAAACCCTCTTTAAAAAGTCACTAACTTTTTTTCTGTTTTCTTTTAACATATATTCTCCGCATATGTAGCAAAACACATCAGGGTGATTCGCACAACTTCTTCTATTTGAACTCATTTTATCTAGATCTAAATACAAAAATGCAAGAACAATTTACAACACAATACTATTTAGGTTAACTTAACAACAACACTTCAGAAAATAGAAATATCACGCGACATCAACTTTCATCTATTCAGTACGGCAATAACTCTCATACTAATCTCAAATATAGTTGAAGTTCACTTAATTTATAGTATGGTTACTCCACCTAGTGGATATTTTCCTGTTGCAAATAGATAATAAACTGAATAAACTGAATATATAACAAATATATAGAATACAGTAGCCAAACATTGTCTATACGAGTTATAACATTACTAAATGGAGTTAAAACTGTTAATTTCATGTAAAATCGCACCTAAAATTTATCTAAAAAACTAGAGCTGATAGAGAAAAACTTCAAATTCAGATTCAGCAACAAAAATATAGCTAAAATCAATTATTAAATCTTAGGCACCAAAAAACTTTTTTTTTTTTGTAGGCTTGTGTTATCAATGGTATAATGATAAGATAACATTTTATACATAAATGATTTTATGTGCCGTAGTGATTTTACTTTTTAAAAAATGTTTAGAAAAGAAAACAGTCTGTCAAACCCACCTTTACACATTAAAAAGAAACAAAAGGTAGCCAAAATAACAAAAAAGCATTTTTTTACAATTAAAAAAAAAATGCTTTTTATAAAAAAAAGTTTGTTTTTGAACTTTAATATAGCAGGCGCGGATCCAGGACTTTTTGGCGCTTGAGTTAAATAACTTTCAGGTGAGTTCTAAACTGCAAATTTTTTTATACTCATACTTATGTCATTTAAGAATGCTTTGCCGAAAATTGCATTGATTAGATCACCTGCCTAAATGAGAGGGGAAATGATTTTTCAAAAAAAAAAAGTTACTCCCTTTAATGAAATTCAAATGTCTATCTATATTTAAAGTTTAATCCAAAAATCATCTAGCCTTCAAAAGTAGTAGCCATTTAAAGTTTAGACCCCCTTCAAAACGAGGGGCTTATAAATTCAAACTAGGTATAATTTCTAAACAACATTATTATTTTTTTTTAAACTTATTATTAGATATTATATATTAAGAATTAATATTATATAAAGGATATTAGGATTTATATTAGAAAAACCTATTCGCCCCACATTTGGGCGGGTGATGCCATCTTTTTAGGGTTTTTTTGTTCCCAGGCTCTAATCAGCGCAATTTTTGGCAAATCATCTTTGAATGACTAAAATATGAAAATACAAACATTTGAAGTTTAGAACTTACCTGGAAGTTGTATAACTCAAATACCGAAAAATCCTGGATCCGCCCCTGTATAGGGTTTAGTTTCTGTATAGAGTTTACTTAACCACCGTGTGTGTCGCGACGCCACTGACTTTCTTGTTTAACCTCCCTATATGACACTTTATTACATACAAATTGGATGTTATTTCTTTTATAACTTTTTTTTTATGACTAAATTGTTATTGTGAATGTTATTTAAATTTATTTCCTAATTATGTATATTTATACGATTTCTATTGCTACAATTCCTAACAAAACCTGCTCATCTTTTTTTATACCATTAATCTTAACTTGAGCACTGCCACTATTCAAGAAACGCACAATTTCTGTGATTGACGACGCGTCATAGAGTTAAGAGTCCTTAGTAAACTTAACTTAAAGTGAATATAATAATTACTCTCGACATTTTTTCTCGCTGCAGCAAACCATTGTTATTATTGATGTTTTTAATGAAAATAGAAAAAGAGCTAAAAAAAATAAAAAAAACAATAATATGCTAAATAAAAAATTGAAAAAATCTAATTTAAAATTTAATAAAAAATCTAAATCTGCGTTAAAAATCTTAAATATTAAATTTTTTAAAGCTTAGCGAAAGAGAGCGAAGAAATTTTTAATACATTTATTTAAGGCCGCTTTAAAAGTGTAAACATTAAATATGTCCGCACTAAAATTATAATGTATATATATATATATATATATATATATATATATATATATATATATATATATATATATATATATATATATATATATATATATATATATATATATATATATATATATATGTATATATATATATATATATATATATATATATATATATATATATATATATATATATATATATATATATATATATATATTAATGTGTATTAGTATATATATTTTATATATTATGTATTATATATACATTACATTATATACATATATATATATATATATATATATTACAATATATATATATATATATATATATTACAATATATATATATATATATATATATATATATATATATATATATATATATATATATATATATGTATATATATATATATATATATGTATATATATATATATATAATGTAATTATATATAATACATAATATATATATATATATATATATGTATATATATATATATATATATATATATATATATATATATATATATATATATGTATGTATATATATATATATATATATATATATATATATATATATATATATATATATATATATATATATATATATATATATATATATATATATATATATATATATATATATGTTATATGCATATGTTATATACATAATTATAATATATATATATATATATATATATATATATATATATATATATATATATATATATATATATATATATATATATGTATATTTATATTATATATATGTGTGTGTGTGTGTGTGTGTGTGTGTGTGTGTGTGTGTGTGTGTGTGTGTGTGTGTGTGTGTTGTTGGTAGTCATACCAGCAAGAAGTATAATTAAAAGAAGACAAGAAGTATAATATGCTCAATATGCAATGAAAATTATTATTTATTGTTATCACTAATAACAATAAATACATATTAGTTTTCATTAAATATTCAGATATATAAGCAGATGGGAATAGTTACAAACAGTTATATACAGACAAAATGTTTAAATGGAGATGAGATTTAATCTATTGTAAAAAAGAAACTAATAGTACTTTGATGAATATATTAATTTTGTTAGATTTATTTATATATATTAAAATAGATTTGTTTATAGATAAAAAATTTTTTCATTATGACTATAATATAAACCAATAAAAAGTAAACAGAAAAAACTTGTTTAAAATACTCAACAGAAAAAAAACACATGTATTTAAAAATAGATATACAAATAGGAGTTAGCAACACTCACATTAAAAAATGCAGTACACACATGTACACACAACATTTAATAAGCCATAAAAAGTATAGAGTGTTTATAATATTGTTAACACTCTATACTTCATTACATATAAGGTTCTATTACATGTAATGAATGAAAATATTGAAATTATATCATGAAACTAATTATAATATTAACAGTAATGATAATATGTATAGTATAATAAATAGAGTGGCACACTAAAATTTTAATTACTAGGTTAGCATATATTGTAATATACGCAAATGTACACACAACGATAATATTTTATTAAGAATAATAATAATGCGATATGTGATAAATTAAGAATAAATTGTGAAGAAAATGTGCCATTGGCCTGTATTTCCACAGAGGATAATGTAAAAAAAAAAAAAAAAATTAATTCTTGTCAATTTTATTTGTTTTAAATCTTTACCTGTTTTTACTTTGTATATAAATACTATATTGAATAGATTTTTAAATTAAAAGATTGAATATTGTTTGAATTATGAATTGCTTGAGGAACACTTTTTTCCAACTTATTATGTACTTATTTTATTCTGCAAATGGTGCTATTCATAGTATAAAATTGCAGGTATGTAATTAGTTTTAGATTTATCTTAGACTTATGTACACTTATAATAGACATTTTAAATAGTAATATTATTATTAACATTGCAAAACAGTATGCGTACTATGTATTAATTAATCATATGTTTTGAAAATAAATTTTCAGGGATATTTACAAATAGTTATGCAATAGTAATCTCAGATCAACACCTTTAAATATAATTAATTATAGTAATAATGATAATCATAATTATAATAAAAGAATATCAGTAAAAATAGTACCTATTGTAAAAATAGTAATAATAATATGAAAGGAAGTATACCACTCTACAGAAAAATAGTTTAAGTATAGAAAATAGAATGGAATAAAATTTAAACAAAAAAGGTTATATTAACTGTGACGTCTAGCTAATTGATGTTATAATGGTTATTAGTAACAATAATAATAATAATAATAATAATAATAATAACAATAATAATAATAATAATAATAATAGCAATAATAATAATAGCAATAATAATAGTAATAACACATGGGTAAATCAACCGGGAATAGGGAGAGGGGGACAGGCACATGCCCCTCTTGACTTTTTTAAAGGACCTTTTTATTATTTTCATTTATTTATATTTTTTCATTCATTTATTTTTATGAAGTTTAAATATATAAAAGAATATAAAAAAATATATGCATGGCTTTAGTTAAGTGGGGACTTAGGGGGGGGGGGTATAGTCCTAACCCGCCCTCCCTAGTCACATTCAAATATCACATTCTGCAATAAAATTAAATGTCACATTCTGCAATAAAATCTAATCCTAAAAAGACTAAATTAACCAATGAATGAGAGAGCAACATTATTTAGCTATATTAAATTAAAGTTAAATTAAGATTAAGAGTAGTTATTAAAAGAATAATAAGATTAAGATTAGCTATTCAAAATATTGGATAATTTAAAGGTAGAAAAGTACAGTTTTTATAATTAAAGCTAAAAATACAAAAGCAGATGCTGTAACAGGTTGTCTAATAAATAAACATGTTTTAGGATGCTACATGTTCCTTCAACAAGCTGGCTTGTCTATAAACAATTCAAAATGTGCAAAAATGTGTTGAGTCAGATCATTCCATTTTTTCTGAAAAATATTCCAATGATAACAGTAGAGAAATCTTGTGAAAAATTATTGCATTGTCTTACAAGAATGCAAAACATTGTGAACTGTTTTTAATGAACATAATTCAATATTGTTAGAGCTTGCCAAGCAAACAAGTATAAAAAAAACTCTGTTTGAGATGAAGTGTAACACAAAAATCATAGTCAAAACTGAAGAAAATGAAATTAAAAATTTTAGGTTGTGTGAAGCATTGCAATGGCTATTTCATCAGTAGTTAGCTTTTTCCTCTTTTCTTCAATATGCCTCATAATATCGACATCAAAATGTACAATCAGAAGTTTATGTACCATCATATCTATATGATTGTTCCTCCTTTTCCTGCTTGAAAGCAAATTTAACTTTTATTTATGGTTTCTCTGCTGACCTTTAAATCCAATACTTCACCTTTAAGTTCATAACTCAAAAGATAAATGTAATCTGATCTCTAATGCTAATTCCTGACCTAACAAAAGAATAAATATAAAACCCTTATTATTAAACAAGAATTAAAACTCTTGTTATTTTTTAAAGGTATATCATTGAGAATTTTTTAGAAAATATTAAATAATATATAAAATCTATAGTAAAATTTATATAAAATTTCTAGATTAAAATGCTATTGTTTATTATATGAAGGCAAAATTTGAAAGTTTACTTTATTTTTAAAATGTACTTATCGTAAAGTGCTAAGACAAGTTGTGTTAATATCTTAAATAAACCTATAAATAAAAACCTATAAATAAAAAAGAAAATAAGTTTAGAGTTCATTAAAATATATACCAAAATATATTATTTATTGAGATATTAACAAAAAACTTTTTAGCTTTTTAGTTTTTTTAAACAACATAATTTACGCATGAGCTTTGGTTTTCCTGGCAACTTAGGATTCCATTAACACTTTATGCATTTTGTTATGTTCCTTAGGATCCCATTAATACTTTGTTATGCATTTTTGTTTTGCACCTTAGGATAATGCTTTGTTATGGATTTAAAAAAAAAAAATTAAAAAGAGTTGACTTCTATTACGCACTTTAGAATTAATGAACTTTTATGTGATGTTTAGTTAAGGGTTAATGCCAAGGTGGAAAATTTAAAGGAATTTTTTTAACATCAAGTTGTTAAAAGTTGCTTTAACTCTTCTATAATTTCATTTAAAATAGAAAATAAAATGGTATTATGGAAAACTCTCAAAACCATATAAATGAAAACCACCTAAGAAACATAGATGTTAAAATTAAAGTAATGCATTATTTTAAAATTAGAAATTATTTTTAGGATGAAAGTCGTACTCATTTCCCACTGAGCACATTTGGATTTTATGAAGGAGGAAGAATGATTATTGACATAAAGAAGTTTGCGATTTCTGAGTTAGATCTACAAAACAATAAAGTGTGTTCAATACAAATATAGTATAGGAGTAATATTATTATAATAGCTATAATAACTAGAGAAATTATAATTGAACCGGTATTAAATGATCAGCAGAATATAAAAATTAATTTAAAGTATTTGCATTTATATGTATTAAAACCTAGAAGGTATGAATGTATGTATGTATGTATGTATGTATGTATGTATGTATGTATGTATGTATGTTATGTATGTATGTATGTTTTGTATGTATGTATGTATGTATGTATGTATGTATGTATGTATGTATGTATGTATGTATGTATGTATGTATGTATGTATGTATGTATGTATGTATGTATGTATGTATGTATGTATGTATGTATGTATGTATGTATGTATGTATGTATGTATGTATGTATGTATGTATGTATGTAAATTTTGTGCCGACCATAAATAGTTGAAGGTCAGCAATATGTCTGTGTGTATATCTATTGTAAATAATATATATATATATATATATATATATATATATATATATATATATATATATATATATATATATATATATATATATATATATATATATATATATATAATTATAATTAATGCTGCTGAAATTATTTAACAAGAATTATTTTCTGTTTTCAATGTCTTTGTCACTGCAAATCATTTAAACTATAAAAGCAACTGTATTAGTTTCATCACTCAATTATGTTTAGCTTGGCTTATCTCTTCAAAGAACAACAAATGATGGTGTTTCTTCATATATGGTATAGTTTTAGTGTGTTTATAATGTATAGAATTTAAATTTTGATGCTCATAAATTGTAAAATAAATAAATGGTTTCTTATAATTTATAACATAAAATTTTTTTAATTTGTTGCGGTGCAGTTAAAAGCACTCATGTTATGTGGAATATTTTTTTCTAAGAATATTTAAATCAGGGTTCCCACTCCTTAAAAACCATAAATACCCTTCAAAAAAGTTAAATTTTGACTGCTTTCCTTAATTTCTCCTTATTTATTTATTTTTAATTATCTAGAAAATTTTATTAAAGTAAAATTGTATTCTTTTTGATAAAATAATAGAATATATGTATTGATATGCATAGTGTGATGGTCGTAGCATTTACTTTTTATTAGGGTGCACCGATGCCAACTTTTGGCCGATGCCGATTGATACAGGTTGATATCGATGCATCGGCATTGGCCATTAATACAAATTTGTACTCTTTTTTTCTTTACTTATAGGTAAATTATGATCAAATATGCATATGCATATGCAAATAATACTTCGCTGCTTTGTACATTGTTAATTTATTTTCTATTTAATTTTATTTTTGAAGTTTAATTCCTTAAATATAGTTAGAAATTTATATATATATATATATATATATATATATATATATATATATATATATATATATATATATATATATATATATACTTATCTACTATAGCATATTTATATGCGCAATTGCTCACTTTTTTTGCTAGCATAAATTAAGTGAGCATTTATAGAAAACGATGAGGGAAAACGAAGAATAATGAATGAAAATGTTGCTGACCCATACCAAACCCTCAGTCGATGTAGCAGCACTCCACGGCGAGTCAGGCTATTTGTCAGTTGATGTATGTACTGAAGCCCCCGGCAGCAGGCTATTTGACATTAGGTGAGTATGACATCATCATGCTCACCTAACTCAGCAGTATAAGATATATATATATTAGGGCTGTCCAAAAAAATTTTTTTTTTCAGATTTGATTGCATAGTTGTTTATTTTGTGCCATTTGACATATTAATTAACTGTGCAAAAAATCTTTCCGATCAGATAAGATAACAAAGTTCCACAAATTTCTAAAACCCGGTTAATTAGATTTTTCAGATTTGATCAGTTTTAATTATCTCTAAATATTAAATTCTGGATACAAATTACAATCCACATCCACTTTATACTGGTTTCAGATTCATTCCTTGTAATCGATTCATTAAACATCGACATTAAAGCCACAGATCGTTCGGCAGCATCATTTACTACTTTCAATGAATATACTAAATTTTTTCCTTCTTGGTATTCTGGGGAATCATTCCAGGTAGCTGGATCGTTGTTGAACAGAAAATCAATATCAACCTTCATTGACCGCAACGCACTTGCTGAAACTGATGTCACCAGCATGTCCAGAGATTTCTTCTCTAGATTTTCAATGTTCTTTAATTTGATCAACCTTTCAGACCAGTTCTCACCGTGAAATTTCATGTTGGAAATCATTTTTCGCTTCTCTTCCGTTTTAAGTTTGTTTGAAAACAAAGCTAGTGGGACCAATTCTGGTGAAAAGTACCACAAATGGTTTTGAAATTTCTTGACTGCTGCTTCGGAAATCGTTTTATTCACAACTGCAAACTGCTTAAGTTGCTGAAACAGAAACAAGTCATTAACTGGAGCATCGCTGGCATTTGGGCATGATATCCAAGATTTTACATAAACCAGACTAGCAAATAAGCAAAATTCACAGAGATTTTTTTCCTCTTTTGTGGTCAACTTGAACTCTTCACGAAATAAATAAATCTTAAAACAATAAATAACCTTGGCCATCCAGCGAGCCATGTGATAAGCACCAGGGATCTTGAAATGATAATTTTTCTCTTCTTGATCAGGCAGTTTTCCAAGTATTATCAGACAGAGATCCATGATTTCTTTGTAGTCATCCCTTGGCATTTTAACATGCAGGTTTTCTTTGAGGAATGCCATCAATTCATTTTGTAGTTCTTGCACCAGGGGTATTTTCAAAATATTTTTAAAATTTCCTTGATTAACTTTGGGCCAATATTGCTGAAATCTCTGGAAAAAAGGTATGTTGGGACCAGATGATGGTCCAAATAGTAATTCAAACACTCCTGCTACTATGATCTCATGAACATGGTGTCTGCAAGCAAAATATAACAAACTTCTACCTATATGTTTCTCTAGAACTACACATGCACCATTTTCGGAGCCAGTGTTAGAGGCTGTAGTATCAAAACTCATTCCAATAACATCACCAATTATGTCCCAGAAATTAAGCAGATGAATAACTGCTTTTGCTTGGGCTTCTCCAGTTCCAGCTGATAGTTTTGCTATTCCAAGTATTTTTTCAACATTGTGACCTGTCACACCTACAGATAGCCGGTCAACATTTGCTTTAGGGTCTGCAGAATTTGTACGATCTATCATCAGTTTGCCATCCCAGTGGACGATTAATGGTGGTTTGTCCAAATCGCAGAATTCAGTTCGAACAGTGGCTTCAATGTTTGATCGATGATAGGTTCGTTTTCTACGGACTGTAGAACGTGACAATGATCCATCATCGAGGTTCTGTCCACCAGCCCTTGCAATTGCTGCTGCTAGTATAGTAAATTTTGTGTCAGATAGATTAATTCTGTCTAATGTTGATGAAACATCAGGCGAGTCAAGAATTGTATCTAAGATACATTGTCGTTTTGGAGTACTTGCTAAACTTGATTCAGCTGACCCTGAAGAACTTGCTTTACTGACTTGTTGTCTGTAATAAACAGGGATTTCTATCTCAAAATCTCTATCAACCATTTTGTCATTATCAACAGCATCGTTATCGTTGTCATCACTATAAATTTCGTCATGTAAAGGTTCAATAACAGGAACTATTGCACTCGCACCAGATTGTCTTTGCTCTTCTTTTAGCTTTCGTTCTCTCTCTGCTTGTTTCTTGCTTCTAATTTTGAAAGTTCTTTGTCCTCTCCAAACATCACCATTTTTCTCTGACATCTCTGATCCAATAAAAATTCTTTATCTTCTTCAATTCTGATCATGGTTTCAGCATCCTTGTGGGCAATGTCAAAAGTAGGCCAATGGTGTCTGTAAATGATTTCTATCTTGATTTCTGAGAATCTGACAATCTGGATTTTTTTTTTTTTATTAATTTAAATTCCTGGACTAAAGTTTTCAACTTTAAGACTACATTCGGATGAAATGCTGTCGGAATACGGGCTTTATTCCAAATAATAATCAGTTCATCAACAGTTGTTTTAAGACTTTCAGGCACTGACTTTTTGGTTGAATTAAGATGATAAAAAAATGTTTTTAAAACATCAGATGTTAAGGGAAGAACTTTATCTGGAAGATTTGGCTCTGGTTGTCCAATTAAAAAGATTTCGGTTTGAAGTCGTGTAGAGATAGCAACACGAGATGATGCTGCCATTTCAATGATAACTGAAAAATTATGAGAAAATCAAAACTCAATACCATATTATACAAACTTATCATTCAGTTGTTGGTTTATGCAGCTGCAGCAATATATAATAATAATTATTACTAAAGAAATTAGATAAATATTTTCAAATTAGAAATTATTATTATCTGCACTTAATAACAAACAATACACTACCAGACTACCATGCTAGTTTTCTGTAATAGGTTACTAAGGTTAGGTACTATCAAAATATTAATACATTTTTTTTGTCAAACTGAAATTCCAAATAAAAATAATATTTATACTTGTAAACCTTTTGAACAACCTGTTTGAACAAATTCTAAATTGAGTTAAATAATAGTATTAAAATTATGAATACAAATTTTAACAAAATGATATAAACACAGTTGTTTTAAACACTAGCAGACATTTTTTAGTCTGGTGCCCTGATGACAGTTAATCTGCTGCACTTTAATTAATCTATATAGCACGCAATCAGACAATATTTCAGTGGAAAAAATCTAACTAACCAGGTTCTAGAAATTTTTGGAACTTTGGAACTTTTTCCACGTTTTTGACGTTTTTCGTAAAACTTTATGGTCATTGAGCACCTCCTAAACATTATCTGATTGGAAAGGTTTTTTACACAGTCAATTACTATGTCAAATGGCACAAAATAAACAACTATGCATTCAAATCCGAGAAAGATTTTTTTTTCCTGTGTTCACATGAACAGCCCTAATATATATATATATATATATATATATATATATATATATATATATATATATATATATATATATATATATATATATATATATATATATATATATATATATATATATATATATATATATTTTGCCGACCTCAAAAACTTTCAGGTTGGCAGTTAGGTCGGCATTGGCGAATGCTGACCCTAATTCCGAGGGTTGATATATATATATATATATATATATATATATATATATATATATATATATATATATACATATATATATATATATATATATATATATATATATACATATATATATATATATATATATATATATATATATATATATATATATATATATATATATATATATATATATATATATATATATATATACAGCGTGTAAAATGAGAAATCGAAGGCAAGCCATTAATTTGACCAGCTAACCCTTGGAATTGACGGTCAACTGTTTTTTTTTGGACGGTCAACATTTTTATTATTTCTTTGTTTTCATTTTAATCTTCGTATTAGTTCTTCATGACTGAACTTTATAAATACAAAAATAACTTAATATTTGATAATTAATGAATTAGTATTCCTTTTTTAAACTTGCAAATAGCTAGCATTAAAATTACATGCCAATGTTAATAGTTTAAAATTAAGCGCGCAGATTTTCATTTTACTTCTTAAAGGAAGTTTGGTAAACTAATAAACTTTTTCAAAATTTTAATGATTATGTGATAATTTAGTACATGCTTTTTCCAAATAATAATCTGATTATTTTTCAAATCTTGTTTTTCAAAACTCTGATAATTTTTTAACCGGTCAACCATGACTGGCGAGAATTAAT